GGGCCTCTCGGTTTACCGGGTGAGCAGTCACAGCTGAACCCTACACACATTCCCACTGAGGCCCCAACAACAACAGGATCAATTTGACCCTTTGAAGCAAATTAGTGCAGGGTTTTCGGGTTTTGGGTTCAGGGTTTAGGGCGATTGGGGTTTAGGGTTTCAGTTTTTTTTGGCTTTCTGGTGCTTCCAGGAGTTGGGGCTTTTACTGCTTCCTAAATCCTAAGCCCCAAACCCCAAGCTCTGAACCGCAGGGGCGGTTTTCAGGGTTCTGGAGTCTCGACTCTGGAGGTGAAGGATTCAAGGTATCAAACTGTGCAAGGCCAGTGTTTCGAGGTTTAGAGTTTTGACATCAATACGGCGCTGGATCCCTGTTGGGGCCATATTAAACTGATACTGTAATGTTTTAGCCTTATTGGGCTTTATTATAAGAAACATGTAAAATTGTAGCCAAGTTTTAGCCTTGTTGGGCTTCATTATAAGAAACATGTGAAATTGTAGCTAACAAGGACCCAGTTCTAGATTCTAGATGTTTCGGTGGTTCGTTTTTTGTTGAACTCCTTTTTGCGACTGCATCTTCGTCTGAAGATACAGCCTCGTGTTCCGGGTTTAGGTGCGAGGGTTTACTACGGGTGTAGCGACTTACGGTTTAGGGTTTAGGGTTTACCACGGGTGTAGGAGGATGGGGCGACTTAGCAAGCAGGGCTGTAAGCAGGGTGATGGTAGCTTAGGGCTTTGGGTTTAGGCTTAGGGTTTTATAAAGGTAGCTATAGTTTTCCGCTTCTTATAGCTACCCAGATAATGTACTTAACTTCCAACTACGTAGGTACGCTGATCCTTTTGCGTCGAGGTACTTGTTGTCGGAATCACTTGGGCGCATCCCCAAGCTCTGCTCTCAAATGGATGAAGGATGCATTCAATTTACTAGTCCTTGGATTTGGTGTTCCCGAACAGCTTGGCTCTAATTAAGGCCTTATGGAGTTCTTGATCTGCAAATTTAAACCATTTAGGGTGTAGGGCTCAGGCCTTATAGAGGGTTTAGGGTTTAGGGCTCAGGGTTGGGGAGGTCCAGGGTTTAGGGATTAGGGTTTAGGGCTCGAAAAGTACTGCCTGCTCCCATTGCTGCCCCTTCTCGCAAGCGCTGATGAGGCCATTATAGGTGATGACCTGGATAACCCTCAGGGTCCATATACCATACAGGATATACTTTGGCCCCGAAGTATCTATATAAGGACTGCTTAAAGGCCAAAGTATATACCATTTGGGTACCTGGACCCTTAACCCCAGACCTTTCTAGTACCCTCAGAGAACCCTTCCAGGACCCCCTTAAAGGATCCCTCATTCAAGGGCAGATGGACCCTTAGGGTAAGGGCTGACACTCTCTGTTCGAAGCTGCCAAGACCTAGGCCGACATCAAGATTATATAGGGGCCATAATAATTAGTGTTTTGAGGGAAGTAAGGGAGGGGCCTGGGAACCTCTTAGTTAGGCTTGGGACTCTAGGCTCAACCCTCTTCAAACCCTCAAGCACGAAACAACTTTAATATACGCTGAGCAAAAA